GTTCCGAGCCATCAGCCCAGAGCCTGACGCGGGGCTCGAACTCACGGACCGCGAGATTGTGACCTGGCTGAAGTCGGACGCTTAACCGACTGCGCCACCCAGGCGCCCCTGAACAACTTTTTTAAAAAGTTTTATTTTGAAAAAGAAAGTTCAGAAGTTTGCAGGACACAAAGTTAAATGTACAAAAATCAGTTGTACTTCTATATGCGATAGCAGTATAAATCTGAAATACTTAGGAATAAATTTGACCAAAAAATGTGCAGGATCTGCTCACTGAAAACTACTTAGGGAAATTAAAGAAGCCCTAAATAGATACAGGAGTGCTGATGCATAGGGCACATGTACCCCAATGTTTATAGCAGCACTTTCAACAATGGCTAAATTATGGAAAGAGCCTAAATGTCCCTCAACTGATGAATGGATAAAGAAGATGTGGAGTACATATACAATGGAATACCAGTTGGCATTGACAAAGAATGAAATCTGGCCACTTGCAGCAACATGGATGGAACTGGAGGGTATTATGCTAAGTGAAATAAGTCAGGCAGAGAAAGACAAATACCATGTTTTCACCCATATGTGGATCCTGAGAAACTTAACAGAAGACCATGGGGGAGGAGGAGGGGGGGAAAAGTTACAGAGAGGGAAGGAGGTAAACTATAAGAGACTCTTAAGGACTGTGAACAAACTAAGGGTTGGTGGAGGGGTGGGGGAGAGGGGAAAGTGGGTGATGGGCATTAAGGAGGGCACCTGTTGGGATGAGCACTGTGTTGCATAGAAACCAATTTGACAATAAATTATATTTAATAAAAAATAAAAATAAAATAAAGAGGCCCTAAATACATGGAGAGATATGGTGTGTTCATAGAATAGTCAATATTATTTAGAAGTCAATTTAGGGGCGCCTGGGTGGCTCAGTCGGTTAAGCGGCCGACTTCAGCTCAGGTCATGATCTCGCGGTCCATGAGTTCGAGCCCTGCGTCGGGCTCTGTGCTGACAGCTCGGAGCCTGGAGCCTGTTTCGGATTCTGTGTCTCCCTCTCTCTGACAACCCTCCCCTGTTCATGCTGTCTCTCCCTGTCTCAGAAATCAATTAAAAAAAAAAAGTTTAAAAAAATTTAAAAAAAATTTAAAAAAAAGTCAATTATCCCCAAATTGACCTATAGAGTCAAAGCAATCCCATCCCAAATCCTAATAATCTTTTTTGTAGAAATTAACAAACCAATTCTAAAATTTATAATGAAAACAAAGGACCTAGAAGAGTCTAAATAACTTTGAGAAAAAGAGACAAACTTGGAAGACTTCTACTAACCTATTTCAACACTTATAATAAAGCTACAGTAATTTAGTGTGAAAAAAATTGAGGTAAATCTAGACAAATAGATCAATTGAACAGAATAGAAATGGTGGTAATAGACCCAGACATATATGGTCAATGCTTCAAAGAAGTTTCAAGAGCAATTAAGTGGCAAAAAGAATAGCCTTTGCAGTGACTGTTCACATGCAAAAGAAATGAAGTTTCAATCCACCCCTTATACCATACATAAAAATTAACTCAAAATGCATCATAGATACAAATGTAAATCCTAAAATTGTTAAAAAGAAAACAAAGGTAAATGGCTTTGGATGAGGCAAAGATTTCTTAGACATACCAACAAAAGATACGGTCCATAAAAGAAAAAGCTGATAAACTGGACTTAATAAAAATTAAGAATGCATGTTTTTTTTTCTAGTTTGAGATATTTATTGATCAGTGTAAACTCCAACACAGTACATCAACATGATTTTGAGCGTTTACAGGGGAAATGGTTCCTGGTTAAGTAGAAAATTATATGAATGACTTCCAGAAAACCTTCATTCTAAGCAGCTTTATAGTCAAACATTTCATTTAGAAGTCTGAGTCCTCTTTCTTCAGTTTGCTATAATCTATAATTACCGAGTAATTATAGATTACTCATTGATCATTGCATTGATCATTAGGACACACTTTATTCTGGATTCTGGGTTACTCTCTTCATCCCAATGGATATCTGGATTGAACAATGCCAGACACAAGACATACACTGCTGCTCCAGTACCTCCAGCTCCAATAAATATGAAGAGAGAAATCAAGCTTGAAGGCTTCTTGGCCTAACCAAGGATCTAGGGGAGCAGATCTTGTGGCAAAGGCCTCTGGTCTAAAAGGAGAGGACACTAAAGCCAGGCCCTAACTAAGTAGTCTCTGCCCAAAGGTACACTCTTTGAAAGCTACTATTTGGAGAATGCAAAGTTAAGCCACAGACTGGGAGAAAATACTAGCAAATCACAAATCTGATAAAGAATTTGTACTCAGAGTGAGTGTGTGCGTGCACATATACATACTTATATGTATGTATATATACATACATACACCTTCAAAATGTAATAAGATAAACAGCCCAACAACAAAAAGGAGCAATTAACTTGAATGGCCACTTTCACAAAGAAGATATATGGATATCAAAGAGCCCACAAAAAGATGCTCACCACCATTAGTTATCTCAGAAATGCAAATTAAGGGACTCCTGGGTAGCTCAGGTGGCTAAGCATCTGACTCTTGATCTTATCTCAGGTCTTGATCTTAGGGTAATGAGTTCAAGCCCCACATTGGGCTCCATGGAAGGAAGGAAGGAAGGAAGGAAGGAAGGAAGGAAGGAAGGAAGGAAGGAAGGAA